AGACTGATCATTTGTATTATTAAGTTTCAAAGGTAGATTGACATTGATGCACTGTGGAGGTGGAAGGAGGGGTGGTGGTGGTGGTTGACTCAGCCAAGGTTACCATTGAAGTGATGTTAGGATGGTCTGGTTATTGTGCTTATTGGAGTTCTGATACCATATAGAAACAAGGAATGACAGAATATAAATTTGTAGAAAATTGACTCATTTACTCATGTAATATGCAGATCTATTCATACAATATATGAGATAAGGTGATAAGACTACTTACCTATGTTTTGAATTAGAGATATATTTTTTTTAATTTTTTACATTTCATTTATCAACAAGGAATGAACAATTCCTGTAATATCACAAGGTTAGCATATCAACTCAATATCCAGGCTTCAACATCCTGAACAAAATACAATATGATCATTAATTGATAAACTGGATATCTAGGTATAATTTAAATCTTAAACAGCATCCATGAATAGCCTAATCACTTAGGCGTAGTTCTGAATCTTTGGAATGGATAGGCTGCTTGTTTTGTTTTCACTGTCTTACCTTGGTGTGTAGTATGGGCTTGTTAGTCCTTAACAATACCCAATACATTTTCCTTAACAAATTCAAAGTGCACCATCAATATTAGCTTCCATCTTGATTCTTGAGTTACTTGCTATAAGTTATGGAATTAATAATAAAATGAAGGTTCTTTTTTATAATCGTAAAATAATTTAGCAGACGAATATTGTTTTCATGTAAAATATTCTATTGAAAAATTTAATATTTTTTATTATTTAAATAAACTATCCAAAATATCTTCAATTATTTGGATAATCTAGCAAAAAATATTTTTTACCATTACACCATAAAAATATTAACTTTCATCAAATGCATTACATCCAAAATATATTTTTCATATTAAAAATATTATATATAAATACTATTTAACTATTTTTATTTATTTATTACTCATCGTATTGCTATATTGGTTAGTTTGTGCAGTCAATAAAGCCTAATTTACAAATTAAAAGTAAAAAAGATTTTCATGTGTGAAAAATTTATTTTGTATTATATTAAAGATTGTATTATCTTAGTAAAAATAATTATAGTGATATGTTCCTTATGAAATAATTGAATAAAAATAATTAATGATACTTTGTTGTGAAAAAATAATAAACAAAAAGATGAAAAAAATATATAAAATGATACTTTATTATTTTATTCTTTTGTGGAATCAATCTCACAAGAGGAGGTTGACAATATTTTTTAAGTGAGATCGATCCTAGAGAGAAGAAAAGGTAAATGTAAAATGTTTTACGTCTTTTTTAAACGTGAGACATATCACATTAATCAACAGAATTTTTTATTGACTCATAAAACATTTTATGTTCCCCCTCTAAATAAAAGAAAAAGTTGAAAATTTTTTCAAAATATCTTTTCGACCTTACCAAATGGAGCTGAAGTGTTTTTTCCATTTTGCAGATGAGTAATATCAGATGACAGGAACAATCAAGGAGAAGATACATAGACAATAGGGAATGATAACTCTATTATATAGAGTTATTTTGACTCATTTTGAGAGCTTAAGTA